AGTGTGAGAGCTTGAAGAGTATAAAGAGTAGTAAAAATTGTAGAACTATAAGGGATATAGGAATATTTTTTAAAGTGTTTTGAATTTAAATGAATTTAAATTCACATTTTAAAAATATTTATTCAGTATCTACTGTGTGCACAATACTAGACTTTAGTGCTGGGGAAAATACAAAGGTAGATAAGGTACTATATCTAGTTTCATAAAATTTACAGTCAAGTAGAGAGTGAAACATAAACACAAAGAACTAGGATACGAAATATTACATGGGTGGGAGTGATCTAAAGATGAGTTGAACTTCAAAAGATGAATATGAATTTAAGAAGCAGGGGTAGAGAAGTTGGAGGACTGGGAAAGACATATCAAGTTTAGGAAAGAGTAAAGCAAAGGGAAAAGTCCAGTTTGACTAGAGCTGAGACCGTTCATTCAGGGAGATATGAGACAAGGCTAGATAAGGGTAGAGGCAAATTGTGGAGGTCTTTCTTGAGAAACCAGGCCAAAGAGAATGAGATTATTCAGTAGGTAATAAACAGTGACTGAAAGGTTTGAGCTGAGAAATTATATGACCAAATCTATGCATAAGAAATGTGAATAATGGATTGATTGGGGAACAAATGGAGGTAGCAAAACTTGTTGGGAGATTATGATAGTTAATTCAATTCAGTTCAGGTCAGCAAAAATATATTAAGTACCTAACATGTGCAAGGCACTACACTAGACAGTAGGGATACCAAAACAAAACCAAAATTGTCCTTGCTTTCAAGACATTTACATTTTACTGAGATGATAGGGCATGCACAAATAAGGAACTACAAAGTAATTTCAAGAGGGAGAGAGAGTCTTAACAACTAGAGGGATCAGAGAGGATTATAGAGGAGGAAGTACCTGAATTGTACTTCATAGAAAGCTATTGATTTTAAGAGGCAAAAGTGAAGAAGGAATAAATTCCAGACATGAGACATCACCTAAGCAAAGGTATCAAGGTGAAAGAAATATGTTGTATGGCCGAAAGGAAATAGGCTACTTTGGCCAGAACAGAGAGAGTGAAGGAGAATAAACTATAATAACTCTGGAAAAATAAGTAGGCTGCAGGCAGACAATAAAGAGCTTTCATTGCCTAACAGAGGAATTTATATTTATCATCTAGGCTAATAGTGTCAAACAAATAAAAAGGGATCCCAGAAAATTACAAATTAACATTATTTATGTTGTATTGTATCTTTCTTTATTTTGTTAAACATTTCCCAATTACATTTTAATCTGGTTTGAGCCTGCAAATGTGGGGTTTTGCAAGCTGCATGAGCCCAAAGCCTGCTCTGCTTTAAGCAATAGAGAATAACTCAGCTTCCTCCCTGAGCAGGGTAGTGACATAGTCGGATCTATGCTTTAGGACTATTGTTTTGGTATCTTTGTGAAGGATAGATTGGAGAGAATTGATAAAAAAAAAAAGAGAGAGAGAGAGAGAGAGAATTTATAAGACCACAACTGATTAACTACAGTGGGTGAGAGAGACGAAAGAATTAATGATGATGAAGGTTGTAGAATGACTGAGAAGGATGGTTGTGCCATCAACAGAAATAGTTTAGTGGAAGGATAGGTTTTGGAGGAAATGAGTTCAATTTTAGAGTTTGAGATATCTGTAAGACTTCCAGCAGGAGTTGCTTAGCAGACAGTTAGTAAGGTGAAACTGCATACCAGGAAAGTTACTAGGGCTGTCTATATAGGTTTGAGACTCATCTGTATAAAGAGGTTGTTGAACTCAAGACTTGATGAGATTCCCAAGGATAGAGTCACAGGATCTCAGAGTTAGAAGAAACCTTACAGGCCATTTAATAAGAAACCTCTAATATACCTTACAAGGAGTTACCCAGTTTTTGTTTAGATAATTTCTGTGAAGGCAAATCCACATTTTTCAGCATTTCTAATAGTTTTCCTTAAACCAAGTACAAATATGCATCTTCCACCCATCTTTCCTAGTTCCATTCTCTGTGGCCAATTGCAACAAATTTAATCTATCTCAGTAAGTGTTGACTGATTCCACAAATAAGTCCATAGCTATCATTTTGCCCCTAAGCCTTCTCTTCTTTAAGCCAATCGTCCTCAGTTCCTTCATCTGACACTCATATGGCACAGACTCAAGGCCATTTTCCATCTTGGTTGGCTTGTCAGGGTCCTTCCTAAAACATGGAATGTCACACAGAACATGATATTCTGGATGTGGTCAGAGCAAGGTAGAAAAGAGTGGTACTGTCACCTTCTTAGACCTAGTCTCAATGCTGCATAAGATCATATTAGCTTTACCTGACTGGAACTCATGCCTTATCAGTACCTGCTACCGCTGCAGCCTCTCCCTCTGTTTGGAGGGTGGAAAGCTCCTCCTGGAACCACCATTGAAAGAGGGAGCCCAGATCAGCTACCTCTTCATTTCCCACCTTGCTCTGCACTCCTCTGGACTTCTACATTGTGCCCCCTAGTTGGGTAACTTCCCTCTTCCCCATCTCTTTTCAACTTCCTTTTGTGTGTTGTCTTTCCTCACTAAAAAGTTCCATGAGGGCAAGAACTATTTTTTACTTTTCTTTGTATCCTCAGTGCTTAGCACAGTTACTGGCATATGACTAACATTAAGTAAATATTTACTAACAGACTTGACCACAATATCACAATGTTGATGCACATTGAGCTTGCAGTCTACTTAAATCATCAAATCTTTTTCAGAAATACAACTGCTGTCTAGCCATATCTCCCCTAACTAGTACTTTTTAAGTTAATTTTTTACCCAAGTGTAAGACTTCATATTTATTATTATTAAATTTCATCTTAATGGATTTGGCCCAGTATCTAAGCCCATTAATATTTTTAATATCCTAATTGTCATAGGCTGTATTAGCTAACCCTCTAGGTTTTATGTCACCTGAAAATTTTATAAATATGCCATCTATGCTTTTATCTAAGTCATTGTTAAAAATTTTGTACTGCTCAGTCCCACACAAGTCACTGGGACAATTCATTAAGGAGCTAGTTTCAGGTTAACATTAAACCATCAATTACTGCTCTTTGAGTCCATCCATTCAATCAGTTCTGAATCCAACTAATTAGAGTATTATCTAGCCCACATCTCTCCATCCTGTCCACAAGAATAATGTGAAAGAACTATTAAATGCTTTTATAGTCTTCAAGTAAACTGTATCTAGTGTCTAATAATCTTTTCAAAATGTCAATGAGAATAGTCTGCCATGCCCACTCTTAATTGAATCCTGCTGGCTCTTGTGATAACTATTTCCTTTTCTACATCTTTACTAATCATTTGTTTAATAATATATTCTAGAATTTTACCAAGATTCCAGGTCAAGCACACACGCTTAGAGTTTGCAGGCCCCATTTTCTTCCCTTTAAAAAAAAACAGGGCAGTTTTTACCCTTCTCCAGTCCTGAGGTGTCTCTTCATTTCTCCATGTGGCTTAACAATCATATCATCCACCTTCTTTCAGTATCCTGGAATATAGTTCAGTTGGGTAACTTCATCAAGGACAGGTGGGTACTTTCTTACCATCTCCCTAGTCCTAGTACAATAAAGGTAATGGCAGTGCAAATAGAGAAGTAGGAATGTATGTGATTGATGCTGTGAAAAGAGAATCAGAAGACCTTGGTAACTGATTAGGTATGAGACGAGGAAGAGAAAAGATTCCTAGATAACCACAAGAAAGTGAAAATAGGAGAGTGAATGTCAGTGTTACAGACCTATAGCAATGAATTTCTAAGGATGAGCACATTTTAGACATGTTGAGGTTCAGTTACCAGTGGGATATATCAGTTACCAGTGGAAATGTTCCATAGGCAGTCTGGAAAACCTTAGAAGAGAGGTCAGGTAGTCTGTATAGATTTGGGAGTTATCAACGTTGTATTATTATAATAATACCTTATCTTCATATAGGGCTTTAAAGTTTGTAGAGTCCTTTATATATATCCCACTTGATAGTAGTTGAAGTCATGATGCCAAGAGAAAGAGAATGGAGAAAAGAAAGCCAAGGGCAAAAGCTTAATGAAGCAGGAAAGGGACAAGGGGCCAATGAAGGAGAGAGGGAAAATAATCTGTTGATTATTTCCAATTTCTCTTGTATATAGCTTTTTTGTACATAGTTGTTTGTATTTTGTCTCTCTTGTTAGACTGGGACCTCCTTAAGAGCTGGGATGATCTTTTGCCTTTCTTTGTATCCCCAAACACTTAGCACAATACCTGGCACATAGTAGGAACTTAACAGATGTTTAGTGATCGATTGACAGAGGTAGGAACAAAACCAGAAATTGGTCATTTCTGAAGCCAGGTAAGGAGAAAGTATACAGAAGTATGGCATAGTCAATAGAAGAGAGAGACAGAGAGAGATAGAGACAAAGACAGAGACAGAGAAAGAGAGAGACAGAGACAGAGAGAAAGACAGAGACAGAGAGAGACAGACAGAGACAGACACAGAAAGAGACAGAGACAGGGAGAGACAGACACAGGCACAGAGAGAGAAAGACAGAGAGATTGAGTACTGAAAAAATACAGTTTGATTTATCAATTGGGACGACCTTGGTGTTATGAAAGGGTACTTTCAGTAAAGTCTTGGGAACAAAAGCCAAACTGTAAGGAGTTTAGAAGAATCAGTTAACTAGCCTACTAGTTAACTAGTTAATTCAGCCTATTACGTGCCAGGCATTGTGCTAAGTGCTGGGGAAACAAAGGCCAATAAACAAATAAACAGTTCCTGCTCTCAAGGAGTTCACAGTTTAATGTGGAAACTTACAGTCTAGGGAGTAGAAACATGAGATGTAGGAAGATTTTTAAGAAGTTTGGCAGAAAAAAGGACAGTTTTTTTTGAGATATGAGGAGGGCTGAATGTATTTGTAGGAAGATACGAAAGAACTAGTGTAAAGGAAGGGAATAAAAATACATTAGGGGTGAGAGAAGGAGGGTGTAAGGAGAAGGAATGATACTGGAGCAAAGTATAGAAACATGCGCAGATGTTAGTTAAGAACATGGGGACATATTCCTCTGTGACAGGAGGGAGAATTGAGGACGGGGAGTTAAGGAAGCTCTTCCTGGATAGCCTAGGTTCTTCTCAGTGCTGTAGGAGGCTAAGTGATTTAGTGTTAAATGTAACCATGAGAACATAAGAGTCAATATGTGGGGGGGAGGGGTATTGAAAAATAAGCCAAGATGTAAAGTTACAAGTGGTCTGCCTTTCAGTGTGGACTAAGTAGGACTATTTTCTCTGAGTTTCTGTTCTCATTATACCATCCTGATTCATCTTATGATGTCTCCAGGGTCTACCTTGCCCCATTTCCCTAGCAAGGAGGTGCCACAAGAACCTGTGATAGTTTTCAGGGGCACAAAAAAATTCTATAAGGCTTATTAATGTGTGCAGAAAGTCCAGATTCTTTTTCTCCATGTCTTTATTTTCCCTTGTCTCAAGCCATTTATGGTTCAGGTGACCATGAAGACCATAAGAACATATGGACATGGTAATCTCTGCTTTAGAAGGGACAAGGCAGTCACATAACTTTGCTCCAAGGCTGAGCCAGCTCTGCTCTCTAATTAATCTGGATCCTCAATCCTAGATTTCTATGTAATCACAATATGTGATTTGTACCCATACGATGGGAGCCAACAAACAGGAAAACCAAGTCACAGAGAAGGGACATAGAAGTCATGGAAAAGCATATTCTAGTATACTGTACTCCATCCCTTCTGTGCCTTTTAATAAGTTTCATAGAATTTAAAACTAGAAGGGAGCTTTTAAATTATTCATTCCAATCATCTCCTTTTACAAATGAGGAATCTGATTCCCAAAGAATGAGAATCATTAGGCTGCCCAAGGTTACACAGGTAGCAAGTGGCAAAGCTGAGATAAAAACTTAGCTCTTCTAACCCCCAATCAAATGGTTTTTTCCCTGGACTATTTTTCCAGTTAAGTTCCTGGCTCCATAGGAGCACCACTCTGAGGCTTCTGAGCCCTGAGCCATGATGGTCTCTGAACACAGAGGCTTGTCTCAACCGTCCCAGACTACAAGGATTAGCTCAGCTCTGTTCCAAGGACACCAGGGCCTTCCCCAAGGGTACGAAATAAGAAGCTCTGCTTGTTTCCTCCCCTAAGAATTAGACTCTGTAGCGGCCTCCCCTTAGACATAGCTCCCTCTTGTGGTCACTTCCTTCAGCTCAAGACTCCCAGCCAAAGAGTACCAGATGTTAGATAGCTAGAAGAATATGAAGAGAGGACAGGAATCAAGAGACAATGGGCAGAGATAGGAATGGAGAGAAGATGGGTGGATGCGTCATGGATTCAAAGATACTATGGCAGGAATCACTCTTTCCCCACACCAGAATCCTGAGCCTGTGTTTCCGTTTCAGATCCCAAGGTTGCACCCACGCTCTTCCCGTTAAACTCTAGGGATAGTGACTCAATAATCATAGGCTGCTTGGCTCAAAGCTTCTTCCCTGAGCCTGTGAACATGGCCTGGGTCAACGGTTCTGAAGGCACAGTGAGGAACTACCCAGCTGCGCAGATTGGCAACACCTACACTCAAGCCACTGTGCTAGACTTTCCTGCAGGTCAGTGCACCGACACCAAGTCCTACCAGTGCCAAGTAGACCACTACGGAATCATTGCTGACCTAATCATTCCCTGCAAAGGTAAGAGGAAGAAGTCGGAGCTTGCCCTTACCCCACACACAAAACTCATGAAAAACACACAAACACACACAGCCCTCATAATAAAAAAAAGTAGATCACATTTGTATAACATTAAAAGGATGGCAAAGCACTTCCTGTACATGATCTCATTGGATCTTCACAATGACCATCTGAAGTCTTCACTAACCCCATTTTGAGATGAGGACCCTAAGGCTTAGGGAAGCTCCACCACTCACCAGATTCAAACCCAGTAATCCACCCATTTATCCTTCCTGCCCCACCCCTGCTCCCTCACCTAAGTCTCAAGTTTCCTTGGACCTACGGTGGTTTCACCTAACAAACCTTAGAGATGATCCCTATGCTGTACTACTTCCAAAGGGAAGGTAGGCAGAAGCAGGACCTGAATATTAAGCAGAATATTAAGCTGAGGGGCTTCAGGAAAGGCTAAGAGTAGCTCTGGCTGAAGAAGGTGACTATGTTCTGTGTGTTTTAGCACCAGCACCTATAGTCGAGTGTAGTTGCAAAACTCCTCAAGTATCCCTGAGTCCTCCCTCCCTGGAGAGCCTGCTCCTGGGCACAGGTGCCAACCTGACATGTACACTCAGCGGCCTCAAGGATGGTAATGGAGTCAAGTTTACCTGGGAGCACACTCCAGCCCAGTCATCAACTTCCAAGCCTATCCAGGGAACACCTGAGAAGGACTCTAGTGGCAAGTACAGCGTGTCCAGCGTCCTGGAGATCTGTGCTGAAGATTGGACCCGTGGGGATAACTTTTCCTGTACTGTGTCCCACTGTGAGATAGAAAATACTACCAAGACCATCTCCAAGCTAGAAGGTGGGAACCAATTGGAAATGGGGAAGAATTTCAAGAGACCAAGAGTATAGAGGGGGGACGCAGATGGAAAGAACTTATTTGTTTGGTTTGGGAAGAGATAAAAAGGGGGAAAGCACTAGACACACAAAGACAACAAAAGGTGAGTCGAACTAAGCCAATCTTGTAACAGGCAGAACACAGAGCTCAAAACTCCAAATTGGAAAAGGAGAGATGGGAAAAGACAGGAGATAGGAATGCATTTTAAAAAATGAGGAGAAACAGGAAGATATGAAGACAGACATCAAGAGAGAAGAAAAGATAGGGAGAGATGGGACAAAGAGAGACAGTAAGAGAATAAAAGTGATGGGAAGAGAAAAAACACGTGGAGAAAGTGAGAGATGAGAAGAGAGCATGAAATAAAAAGGCACATCAAGAAAGATCAAGGTAGAGGAAAAAGAGAGGGACAAAGAAAGCATGGAAGAGTGTGAAAGGATACAGAAAGAGACTGACGGAGAAATAAAGAAAAAAATCTCCTGGTCATTCCCGTCTTCCTCACCAGCCTATCAGGTATCTCTGGGGCTGCTCTCCCTCAGTGTTCTCTGATGGGCCCTAGATTTTGCCTCATCTGCATTCCTAAAGGCATTCTACATCCTGATAATCCTTTTAAATGATTTCCTTCCTACTAGGGTGATTTCTTAGAACCTAGCTCTCTCTGATCATGTGTCTCTGCTCTTCCTGCCTAGTGATCCAGATACCACCCCAAGTCTACCTGCTGCCACCATCTGCAGATGAACTAGCCTTAAATGAATTGGTCTCAATCACATGCCTGGTGAGGGGTCACAGCCCACCGGAAGCATTGGTATACTGGCTGAAGGGGTCTGAGAGGGTGCCCAGAGAGGACTACATCATCAGTGGCCCTTACCCAGAACCAAAGGGCAACAACACCTTTATAATTTCCAGCATCCTCCAAGTCTCAGCCTCTGAATGGAAGGCAGAAAACAAATATTCCTGTGTGGTAGGCCATGAAGCTCTTCCCCTGAACTTCACCCAGCAAACTATCGACCGATTCTCTGGTAAACCCACCAATGTCAATGTATCTGTAATCCTGTCTGATGTCTATGGCACCTGTTATTGACCCCAGCCTAAACCATCAGGCCCCCATCACTGCCCAGAAATTGAGTTACAAGGCAAGAGTGAAGGGGAAGTAGATCTATAGAAAAGTATCTAATGGAATAAATCTTGACACTCAGAAGCAACACTAGCCCTGTCCTCAGTGTTTGCGCCACAGCTAGTCCCCAGTAGCAGGGGAAGGGGGGGGGGAGTGGTAGGGAGTGAGGGTGGGGGGGGGTGGAATGTACTGGGGAAGAGGAAAGGAGAATGGGAAAGGGTATCCTATAATATGAGCCAAGCCAAGGTATTCATCATGGTTCCCCCACCCTGGCTAGGGTCGGGCTCAGAGACATGTTTTAGGGAAGGTCTTGGTCACTTTTCCTGATATAGTCAACACTTTATCAAGGACACCCCCCCAACATCTCCAACTTGTAATCTGAGCCCTAATCCACCTGGGAAGGCAAGTTCCCACTTGTTTCCCCATGACTAATAAGATCCTAGCATCAGAATAGAACCGGAGAGGTCCATTTCCAGCACTTATTGAGGATTTTATAATATGAAGAATCGTGTGCTAACCACAAAGTGGGTGAGTCAGAAGAGCAGACCCCAGAGCCTGCCTTCAAGGAGCTTATAGTCTGAGGAAGATAAAGGAACAACAGACTCATGGTCTGACCTAGGAAGAGAGGGGGAGGAAGTAAACACCAGGGAGAGGTGTGTGACGTGTTCACAAGATAGCAAGTGGACCATATTGAATGAAGCAAAAGGTGTGTTAGGGAATAATGGGAGATGAGGTTGGAAAAGAAAGTTGGGGCCTTGACTGTCAAGTTGAAGACTTTGTCCTGTGAGCAGATGGATGCCATTAGAAGTTTCTGAGTAGCAAAGTGACAAGGTCAGAATAATGCTTTTGTAACATGATTCTAGAAAGATGTTGAAGAAAACCATTTAGGCTATTTTACTACAATAACTCCATTGAGAGGTAATAGGGGCTTGAACTAGGCAGAGTGAAGGAAAAAGAAGTAACTCCCCAAAGAACAACATAGATACACGCAATAGATTCAAATCTCATGTACACAGAGACAACAAAACAAATGCACAAGGTAACAGGCATGAAAAAGACACAAATACACATACACAGAGTCACACATGATAGGAATTTCCCTGGTAGTGTTGAGATAAGGGCTACATTTTTTTAACTTTTACTTTTATCCTTTTAGGGTACCCTATATCCTTTTTTCTCTCCTTTCCCATTAGCATTTCTGTGTCCTAGATATACTCCACACTTATCAGAGACCCTTCTACCATTGCCAAGTAAAATTTCTGGGGAGGGGGAGATTGAAGGATCTTCACACACCAAAATAAGACAACCCAGAAGCATAAAGGGATTTCTCAAATCTCTTCTGCCCCCAGATATCCCTTCAGCAGAGGAGAGGGGGAGGTCCTGATTCATCTTAAGATTATTAGATTTCCTTTCTGAGAGGTTCAAAATTGAGCTGTTACCTGACTACCTGTGACAGTACAATTGACTCCCTGACACCAACATTAAATGCCATCTCCTCAAGGAACTAGGGGCTCCAATCCCCAGAAAAACTTTCTATTCTCTCCTCTCAACATCCACCACAATTCTCAGAGTGAGGCTGTGACTATACTGTTCCAGGTTAGCAGCATCCTCATATGCTATTCATCCTCATAGCTACTCAGGGGCCTCTCTCCTCACAAAAAAAAAAAGCCCTTCATTTCGAATGGGGTGAAAGAATGGCCTCTGCCCAGACTCTGACCAAGAATGTCCCTGGAACAGAGGGTAATGCTAGACCTTAATCAAGTTCAGGGATGTCTCTCCCTTAGAGAATTTTTTTTGACTTTTGGGCATTTATCTATACGGAGGTCTTGTTCTCCTAGTCTAGAACCCTTAACCCAACCTAGGCTATGCTTCTTTAAGTTTCCCAGTGGCAATTCTCTCTCTGTTGGTCCCTAGACTTCATAGAACTCTCCCCTCCCCATCCCCAGATTAATCCTTTGTTCCTCAGTCCTTACTCTTCCTACCCAGACACCTGAGTCTTGTCTTTGGCCTAATGTTTGAGAAAGACCCAGGGCATTTGTCACTTCTGTCTCTGTTTCTTATCCTTTGAAGGCCTTACATATCCAAAATGTCCTACTCATGTTATTTAAAAGCCTTCTTCCTAATTAGAGATGATAGACTTAGCCAAATCTTTATAGGGCTCATCTTCACTCTATAGGTAGGAAGTGAAAAATCAAATTGGAATCAAATGGAATCAAACCCAGTCCTCTGACTCCAAATCCAGTGGCCTTTACGCCAGAATAGGAACCCTGGGTTCAACACCCAACTAACTTGCTAGATATGTAGTAATGGGCAAGTCACTTTTACCATTCTAATCCTCTATTCCCTCATCTGTAAAATGGAGGGATTTATATTACCTGATTCACAGGGCTATTTAGAATAAAGTGATTTTATACCTTAAAGTGCTATAGAAATTATAATTATCATTATTACAAAATTGTCTCCAAAAAAGATAGGCCTTGTGCCCCTGGGTAGGCCCTGAAGGACTAGGGGTACCAGGAAATGAAAGTCACTGGAGAGCAAAGTTTCTGGGGGTGCCACACTGGGGGAACTTTGTATTTAAGCTTGACATCAGGAAGGGGAATATGTAGTCCTTGCCCTGGATGGGTACCCAGGCTGACTAGGAAGATGGAACAACACACCACATAAAGAACACAAATAAGAGTGATCAGTGTATTTAAGCACCAGAGAACCCATATGAAGCTGAGGAACCTATATGGAAGCCACATGATACAATAGTAAGAGTGCTAGCTCTGGAAGCTAAGGACCTGGGTTCAAATCCTACTTTAGGGGCTTACTACTTGTGCGACCTTGAACAAGTCATTTAATCTCTATGTGTCTCAATCCTCATCTGTAAAACGAAAGGTTTAGACTATCTGACCTCTAGGGTTTCTTCCAATTGCAGATGTATGACATTTGAGTTATGAGCAAGACAAGAAACATGTTAAAACTGTGAGAGGAAATTCCAGATATAATACACATTCTTGAATTAATATTGAGTTCTGCCAAATCTCCTGGAGATTTGGTCAGTGTGATAGGCTGCTTAGGCAGCTCAAGAGGACCAATCCTGTGTGACCTAGGGAAGAAGGGCATGTAATGGCTGGATTGCTAGATACCACACCTTTCCTCTCAACAGCTGTTCCTACTATATCTGTTGCCCCAATGGCATTCAGTTGTCTCCAGGTCTTGTCATTCCAAGGGCTATAAAGAATTCCATAGGGATATGGGAACTCCATAAATGAGAACAAACTTGCAACAGAACAGTATCTGTTTATCCTAGTTCTGGCAGTAAGTAAAAACAGAGGCAGATTTCTCTCCAAGAAATTCTTACAACATCCTGAGAACACCATCAAGGAGTTGTCATCAGGACTATTTAACTGCCTACTTATCGTCATCACTTAATCTGACCATACCACTGTAAATTTAAATAGTTCATGTTTAGACAATGCTGTGTTCTGGTGTTGGGTAATTTAAGAATAGAGCCATCTTATTTTTCTAGCTCTTTATTAATGGCTAGATGATTCAAGTTGGCTACATTGAGATAAACAAAAATGAAAAAGGTAAAATATACATATAATATATATACCATATAAGTATAGACAACATATATGTGTGAGCATATGTGTGTGCATGTATATGTATATATGTGTGTGCATATACCATTTGTCAGCTTAAGACACTGAATTTCTCACCAATGACCAGACTATTCCCATCATCCCAATTATTTCCCTTTCTCCTTCCTTCGTCCCAAGGCTTATATTTGGTTGGGGGAAGGGGGGAGGCAGGGAATCCCTTTCCTTCATCTGAGCAGTTCTCCAGAAAGACTTATTCTGATTTCACCTGCTGAAGCAACTCGGGCCCTGATAGCTTCATAAACTTCCCAGAATCTCATTTATGGACCTGCATCACCTCCAAGACAAGGATCACCCCAAAAAGACCTAAATCTCCTATGTTTGCCCATCACTCCTCAAACTAAACTCCTCTGATGCCACCATCACTAAAACTGCAAAATGATGACCTCTTACAGCAGCTCCTTTGCCCACTTTCATCAGACAAACAATGTAACAGCACTTACAGATGAGAAAATTGAAGTTCAGAGAGGTTAAATGACTTTCCCAAAGTGAAAAGCCACTACCAGCTGTAGCTTCTCATTATAAGGCATGGATTTTCATGACAGTATCTGCATTAGGAAAGTACAGACTAAATGCTCAGGAGGACCAAGGAAGAATAAGGAGTAAGTATCCCAGGGATAATGAACAGAGTGAGTCAATGTATAGGAAAATCCAAAATGTGTTTGATGACCCAGTTTGGCTAGACAATTGAGTATGTGGAAGAGAGTACTATGACATAATCTTAGAAAGGGAGGGCAACACCAGATTTGACTTTATCTTATAGGCAATAGGTAACTGCAAAAGGGTTTTGAGTAGGGAATTAATGGGGTCAAAGTCAATCATTGAAAGAATACTCTGACAGCCAGCATAAGTAAGAATGATAAAGTTCAGAATGAAGACTCATTATGCTATCGACAACAAAAAATAGGTTGAGTTGTTAGGTGCAATCCTTCAGAAAGTCCCACTCTAATGCCTCAAGAGAGGGCTTAAGAGGCTGCTTAAAGGCTGTATCAACAGAGCACAGATTCTATCAAGATCTATCATTCCTGAAAGGCATTGAGTAAAGTGTTGACAACAGACTGGATTTACTTTCTGAAGTACAGAGATGCTCATCACCATGAAGCTGGCTTCTCTATATAATAAAATTTTTGGCCATGGCAGCTCATGGAACAAATTAAAATACAAGACAGTACTCATTCCTATGTGGCTCCCTTCTGGTGACAGTAAAAGGGGCAAAAGTACTAAGAAACTTTAAATGGTCCTTAAGCCATTTCTAAATATTAACTTAATTGTTAGCATTCTGAAAGTGACATCTTTCTCCTATAGACAAATTACTCA